ATGTATATATTATATAAACTTTACCACTTCTTTTGACACTTTCAAAAGCATAACTTTGAAAACTTTTCCTTTTTCTTTTTAACCGTTACCTATGTCAAGACAGGAATAAACTGTCAAATTTCAGCCTTTCATATCAAAAAGTAATTCTTGCTTGATGAATCAGATAAATATTTTTTGTTTATAATTACACGATCTTACAGATTTTTTATTTTAACATTGTATATATCTCACTCTCATTCCGCCATATTAACGTCTCATTGCTGAGCATGGATCTCTTCTCAATGCGAGGGGAATCAGGCTAAGGTCGACCACACCGGTCAAGTGACATAAACATAAAAATTTCAGTAGTGAGAGATCCAGGGTTCGAACCTACTTCACTTGGTTTTCAAGCAAGCGTGTTAGTCCACTGAACTTAATAAAATCATTATGTTACTTCAAGTCAAAATAATATTATAATAGTTGGAAATATGTAGATAATTCATACATACGTATTTTCTATATTGTTGTTTAAATTGCTAATAGCTTTAAGTAATTTAATATCCATATCACATTGAAATTTGGTGTAAAACCCTTATAATATAAATAATGACTGGCGTGTTTTATTGCTAATTAAAATTTAACCCCCGTTTGAGAGTTAAAAAAAATATAGGGGAATAAAATATTTCCTATCCAATTTAAATAACAGATTGACATATCCAGGATAGGCTTTGTATATCTAAAAGCAGCCTAATAATTATTTACTAAGGTTACATGCACCGGAACACACTGTCACATATAAACAATCTAGGAGATTAGTGTAACCTCACCTTTACTCAGTTGTTTTGTCATTTGCCACACAATGCCTTTTGTTACCACGACTAGCAGTTTATTTATCTATCTTTTTGTAAGTTTTTATAAGTCATTGTTTAATAGGTACAGAATATTATTAACATCCTACTAATATTATAAACGCGAAAGTTTGTAAGAATGTATGTATGGATGTATGTTTGTTACTCTTTCACGCAAAAGCTACTGAATGGATTTTGATGAAACTTTACAATAATATAGCTCATACATCAGAATACATATACTACTTTTATCCCGGAAAAATGTACGGTTCCCGTGGGATAGATTTGTCTTTGTTTTTCTAGAGGCGAACCAGAGCGAAGCAAGGGTGAGCCGCTAGTGTTAAATAACTTTCATTTTCTTACACTCAAGAGACTTGCCTTTATAATATGATACGGCCTCAATAAATTATAAGATTAATCTAAAAGTTTGTATTACCAAAATAAATTAAAGTTATCTAGGCTAGTAGGTATACTAATATAACCTATGTTATATAAAACTAACGTTTTCCCTCGGTTACGCCCACATTGTTCAATTACATATTACTATTTATACTAATGTTATAAATGTGATGTTTTAACGGATGTTTGTTACTCAATCACATCGAAACGGCTTAACGGATCTAGATGAAATTTGGCACAAAAATAGATTATAGTCTGGAATAGCACATAGGCTACTTTTATCCCAGAAAAATGTACGGTTCTTGTGGGATAGCTTTGTTTTTGTTTTATCTATATAAATTATAAGCTATTTTAATATTTGTCTTGGTATATAATCTTTGTATTGGTTTAGTGGCACTAGCAAGTGAACCATACAAAGACTATCTGCATGCCAAGTTTTTCAAAATCCTTTTCAACGATTTACGCGCAATAATAAATGAGCGATATTGCTACATTTTATGTAACTTTAATAATATTGTATTTGTAATTTAATATAACATATTATATAAGTGTTACATATAAAACATTCATGTTATACACTTTTTTATAAGTACAACTAGTATTGCCCGCGGCTCCGCTCGCGTTCAGAACACCAAAAACCAAATTCTTAGGTTTTACAGTTGGTATACTCTTACATTGCAGTTTTTGCATTTTTTCTCAGAAATAAGATATTTTCCCGCGGAAAAAGCATCCCATGTGTTGATCAATGTATCCATATGTTGACCCGGATAACCAGCTGTCATCATACCAAATTTCATCAAAACCACTTCAGTGGTTTTTCTGTGATGCGGTAACAGACAGACAGACAGACAGACAAAAATTCTAATAACTATAGATTCGGCCTCTGTATCGATGATAATATTTATTTCAATAAGATTTTCTAAAAAATATTTAATGTACAGATTCGGCTTAGTTACAATTTTATTATATGTATAGATATTTAAAACCCAAATGTACATATAAATTTAAAATTACGACTTCTGTATCGAAAATGGCTATTACATTCAAAAGGCATTAAGCTTTCCATTCTTTATATGAAAATAAGAAAATATTTGTGCCAGGTATTTATAAAAACAGCCGGACCCATTTGTATTTTATTTTCACCAACCAAGTCGACAAAATACGTATTTTTGGCACACATCCAGCTAAAAGTAATGTCTTTTATTTAGGTACCAATGTTTTGTTCCTTTGACCGAGTTAACCTACTTACTTTTTGTGTTAAAAAATCAAAAGTATATTTCGAATAGAGTTTTCCCTATGATGAAATTATGGAGCTTAAATGGATATAACATGAATGCATTTCTGGAAATCTGTTAGTTAAAAGCTTTTATTAAGAACTAGCGATTCAACCTCGCTTCGCTCGGGTTCGTCCCTAGGTTGCTTTCCAATACAAACTTATCCCCATTTTCACTCTTTTAAGAGATGATTTCCGGGATAAAAACTATCCTACGTCCTTCTCAGGGTCTCGAGAAGATATTCTTAGAAAATTTCATCTAAATCAGTTTAGTAGTTTCGGAGCTTATTCGGTACAAACAAACAAAAAATCTTTCCTCTTCATAATATTAGTATAGACTAGCGACTTAACCTCGCTTCGCTGGTATATATCATGTGTGTACGCAGATTTTGTTCGCAATTTCATTGGTTTTAATTTATTTTTTTTGCAAGGAAACCCTTTTTCTTAAATAAAAGTAGTAGAAGTTACTTCTTATAACATCAGCTGTCTGTCAGTGAAAGTCTTGTCAAAATCTGTCCAGCCGATACGAAGATTAGCCGGAACAGTCTGACAGACAAAAAAAAATTAAATATGATTTTTTACTGTAAGTACCGTATATAATTTCAAATGCATTAAGTAAGAAGCCGTATTTTGGCATTACAAACAAACACTTCAATTCTATTTATCTGTGTACTGTAGATTATAATATTAGGCTACTATAAACAAGCCAAAAAAATAATTATGAAATGTATGTATATGACAACTTTGGCTCAATTTAAAGTAATGACCCTACTTTATGCGCCAGCGGTCGCGGGTTCGAGTCCCGCTGGGGGCATTCATTTGTGTGATGAATACGAATGTTTGTACTCCAGCCATGGGTGTTTATGTTTATAATATGCATGTATTTAAAGCCTCGTAGCTTACCATGGAACTAAATGGTACTCAGTGTGTTAATGTCCTAACATATTTATATTTATTTGTATGTGTATTCATATCTATGTAAGCATACATGTGATTTGACTGTTGTATATAATATTATTTATTCTATTTAAATTACAAACATCTGCTGTAATTTTCACAAAATTACAAAATATTGTGGAATAAACGAATTTACAAAACCTTTATTCTAAGAAGAGTAAAGCCACTCAACGAAGGAAATTAAGCTTTATTTACAGGCGTAAAAATAAATTATTGTTTCAGTATACTACCATAAATTTTATTCGTTCGCAAAATCTTCATATTTTAATCCAACTTAGCACTTACCTATTGTTGAGCAAATTGTTATTTTTTTAAAAAGCAAGTATTGTATCTGTATTTTTAATATACCTTCTATAACTCCGCTAACTGTAAAACGGTTTTAGAAATTAAATATTTTTAATGAATAAACAAGAAAAAATATTTTGATTTTGATATCAGTTAAATCTTTTTAGTTAAAAGTAATTATGTCATTAATTTAATTGTGTCAAGTCTATTCCAATATGTAATGTTTATTATTTCAACACATAAAACATTAAATATTTAAATAAAATTATAGATGATCAAATATCTTGCAATATCTGTAGGCATGTCAAAGGCCATTAGCGAGACGTGAGAAAGGCCTCGTTGCAACACTGCACGCAGAATAGCAATAAGGTACGATGGATCTATAGAAAGTGAATACGTGCACGTTGTTTGGCCCGAGTACACATATACATAGGCCTGGCATACGTCTTTGTTCGCTATTCCTACACATAAGATTAACATAAAACCCATATCCATACTAATATTATAAATATGAAAGTATGTTTGTTTGTCCTTCTTTCACGTCGAAAAGGAGAGATAGATTGGCGTGATTTTTTGTGTGGAGATGGTTCGAGGGCTGGAGAGTGACAGAGGCTACTTTTTACCGCGAGAGATTATCTAATTTCCACGAGAAAACACGTTACAATATAATACAAAAAAATATTTGTGATCAGAATTACTTGAAACTTGGTATATATACTCTTCAATGAAATTAAATAAATACGTGTCTTAGCATTTTTCAAAATTCATACTATAAGAGGGTAAAATAGAGGATGAGAGTTTATATGAAACTACCTTTTTAGAGATTTTTTTGTAGTTTTAGCGCGAGCAAAGCCGCGGGTTCTGCTAGTAACGTATAAATATGCAAGCTAAAATAGTCAATCAATAATTACTTAGATATATATAATAAATATTGATCAGATAATTAGAGTCAAGACAATTGTGTTCAGAATATGATTTTTTTTATTTTTGTTATTTTATTAAATTAAAATTCTTATGAAGGACTACGTGACATACATACCAATAGGCCAAATGCATCATTAAACACTTTAACTGTTTGTAACCTCGTGAAAATAATTATCATTACCATAATATTACATAAACTATTTTGTTTTAGGTGCAAAAATAATAAGAAACATACCTTTTTTTTTAAATATTAACAACAAATAACTTATTATTTAAATCTTACTTAGGTATTGTTAATGGGATATTAATAGATTTTTTTATATTTTTTCCAGGCCATGAAGCTGTTTTGGTGCTACGTCACAGCAGCATTACTAACGATTACGCAAGCTGCTGTAGACGTTGAAAAAACAGTACAACAAGTTCAAAGTATACTCAAAGCTAATACGTTACTACCTAGACTTACTAGGGATGAAATTATACAACTTTTAAATGATATACGAAGTGAAGATGCAAAAAGTAAATCTGAGTCCAAAGAAAAATCGAATGAAATAAAAAACACTACAATAGGAGCTTTAAAAGAGAATTTAAAAGATGACACAACAACCTTAAAATATAAAAACTTAGAAGATAATGAAATAGCAACGCAACTTTACCACGCAAGCTTAAATAATGATAAAAATAGTATAGCAGAAACGACTGAAAGAAATGTCATAGAATCGACAACAAAATCTAGCGGTCAAACTTTGACAGTTGTTTTACCTTATACACCTCGAGATGGTTCGTCTTTGCAAGAATTATATACAAAACCTCCACGTCTTCAAGTTGTTACAGAAAGCGTTACTCCAAAACCAATTAAAACGTCAAAATCGAAAGTACAAACAAATCAATTGGTAAAGAATAAAAATACAAAAACACCAAAGCTAGATCTTCCAGCTGAATTGCAGGCATTTTTAGAGGCGCATGGACTGAAGGGAAATCCCGGCCAGGATAACTTCTTGCTACCCCTAGAAGGTTTCAAGCCGTTACCAGCGCCAAAGTTAGTAGATGGTTCAATACAATTACCAGAAAATTTATTACTTACTTACGATCTTATATCACCATCAGATTTGTCAACATCCAGAAATAAAGATCAAAATTTAGCTCAAACAAATTTCTTGTATGAGCCTTTAAAGCCACAGTTTCCATTTGAATTAGACACATCTTCATCCGAAACAAAACATAGTGTTCTACCTCTTGATTTACCAAAACCCAGAAAACCAAAAGCAGTCTCTAGTACTCCAAAGCCTAATTATGAACCAATTGATTATGAAGCTGTAAAAGTCATACCATTAAATCAAGGCCCTAATCCTGCGGATGATGAAGTACTGGTTGGTGTCGAACAAAATAAAAGGCAAACAAATGAAACTGCAAGTTTAGTCGTAGCTAATTCTACTAGCACTGAATCTACTAGTCAACAAACAGAGACTAAAAACGCAGAAGTACCAGACAATATACCATCTGACACAGATGCAGGGGCGTCTATAGCTGACCTTGAAGATTCTTTTGGAGGTGCAGCTCCAGTTGTACCAGGTGACTCAGAACTGCCACCGCCGAAAAAAAATGGTTTCTACTGGATGGCTGATTGGAATAGTTTTCTAGAAGTAGGTGATGGTGATACAAAAGTAAATATTCGATTTGAGCCCAAATTTGGTGATCCTCAAATGTTTTTACCTGTAAATGTACCATGATGTGTGTTCATTTGACGAGTAGTGTTCTAGTCTAAAGAAAATAAACGTAATGGAATGAATTTCTGGTGTAGGAAAACTGGTATTATGTCAAGATATGTAAACAACAACTTATTAAAATTTTATTTGATTAAACTTTTACTCAAAATAAAATTGACATAGTATTGTACATAAATATAGATAAGATTACGTCGTGTAGTTATTTTAAAACTGTTAATTTAAGTTATTATGTATTTATAGATTTAGTGTTTTGGATTATAATTCAATATCAAAACCCGATAAGAATTTTATTCTGAATCACATAATAATAAATTAATCATCAATCATAATTTATTTATTAGTTCTACAGACCATTAGAATCAACTCAAGTCTTTAATTATATGTGTTGTATTATTCAAGTATGTGATCGGTGAAATGAATGAAATAAGTGAGGTCGTGGTTGCTGGAGCAAGCGATCAAATGAAAGCAAAAGGAAAATCGTCGCGTGTTACATACACAATCATTGCAAATTACCGTTTACCGCGTGTTTTTAGATAGTGTTTTATATTTTTATTATAATAAATCATACATTTTGTAAGCAATTGTGTTTTTATTAATCATTATAATAATATAATATTCTTAATGTCTTTATGAATAATACAGGTACAGGAAGAAAAGTACCTGTAAACGTAAAAACAGAGTGTCAATTTGTAATTTAAAAATATATTTCCTTAATTTTCTCCTTATTAGTGCTACCGAGACAAACTATATTTAATAATATAAATATCAGAACAATAAAAAAATATGAAATCTTAAATATTCGTATAGCAAGAAAACTCGTTTTTGCAATCACCCATATGAAGAGATTTGCTTATACCATTACAACAGGCGGCCGAGAGCAACATGCTCCTTCTTCTTTACTCACGCTATGTGATTTGTATGGACGAAAAATTGAAATTGACAATATGGACAAAAAATTGATACTAGAATTAATCAAAGAATAAAAAAACATGAATTATAGGGGATAGCCATACTTCCCAACTCCGGGCTGTTACTGAGACTTAATATACAGAAAGACTCAATAACTAAACTTGGCCCGACCCGGGACTCGAACCCAGGACCTCCGGTGTGCAGCCGTACATGCTAGCCACTACACCACCAAGGCATAATCATTAAATAAATAAGTAATGAAAATTCGGTCATAAATGGTAAAGACAAAATCAATACAGTTGGTCCAAAAAAGTATTAGGTAATTTGCAAAACTTAGCACTAACATTTTCCATTGGTGCCTTACGTACATAATATGCTATATGTTATATTTAGAATATATTAGGTACACTATGCACTATCATTTAAAAATTGTCCTCTTTGCCAATTTCTGTCACGGCGGCCAGGCTCACTAAAACTAGCCATGTGCGCAACAAATATTGTAGTGCACAAGTATGCGCGCAAACACAAGTAAACTCTCTATACCTGTTACTCTCATATTCCGGGTTGTTACTGAAAAATTCTTAATAGAAAATCTATTAACTAAATTTGATCCAACCCAGAACTCGAACTCAGGACCTCCGGATGTTCTGCCGTACATGCTAGCCACTACACTATTGGAGGCAGTTGCCATATGAACATTCAGTATAATAAGATTTATTGTGTCTATGTATACTTATATATAACAGTAACATAATTGAAAGATTTTAATTCAATGGTCTTGTTTAATTAAACAGTAGGAATTATCTTTTTTTATTTTTTTTAAATATATCCAAGAGTGTGCCGTTTTTACCTAAAGTATAATTTTTTTTTATTATCTAGCTACTTTTTGTCTATATTAATATTATTATAACTGTACACGAAAAAAGATTAGATACTCTGCCGTCTTATTTCGTGCCCAAATACGAGTACTAATACATGCGATTTCAACTCTGTTACTGCTGATCTCAGTATCATGGGTGCAGCTAGCATGGAAAATATTTTAGAGCGCCTGGTTTTAATAACACTCTACAAGTATATATATATATCGAAGCAGCATTAATTTTCTCTATTATTTTCCATTATTTTATCATGACTTATACAGTGGGCGTTATATGGGAAGTGTTGGTTCAAATGAAAGTCGATGCAATCACAGTTGTACTTCAAATTAACAATAATCACTTTGTACATAGTTAAACAGCACTTCACTACACAACCATATACCACTTCACTATTACCACGTATAGACAATACGGAACGCAAGACAGTTCCTAGTGGAGCGGTCCTAAGCTTGGCTCGGCTCGAAGGCAAGTGTCCAGCCCTCTTAGCACCCCTCCCTTAGCTAGGCTCCGTCGTAGCACGAAGCTCGCCGAGTGTTGGCGATAATACCGAAGGTGCTGCCATTACTCAGGCGTCGTGCCGCGCTTCGTTTAGCGACCGTATTGATGACCGTCTCCGACACGGCCATCCTGCATGCACACGCCCTCGTGTGTTAGCCGTGTGTTAGCCTGCAACCAAATAATCAACGAAAATACTTGCTCGACTCGGTCAATCCTGACCAGATAAAACTTAACTTTGCATCTGAATCATCTTTATTCTCACGAAAAGCTTTAACGCTAAGACCTTTGTTTTTTTTTAAACTCCAAGTCACTGTAACTATCTCTAATCTAACTAATAACATTAGTCATCCAGAGCCATGTACCAACATCATTCAACACTTCAGCAATCAAACTAATTTTCAAATTTACTAGCACCTCTGTAAACCACTCTTAGGCCACGGCCTTACAAGCCAACCAGCAATCACAATTGCTCCACAATCCAGGTGCATCCACTACGGGATCACCATATGTATCATCCTCTCGATGACTACACACTATGGTCATAACAGACCCCGACCTCCGCCAGAACTAAACGCACATCACACACCCACGGTCTATATAGTTTGAGCTTTCTCAAAAGACCGACTTTTACCAGGCTATGACTACGTAATAGTTACTAGTACGGTCGACACTACTACGGCCGTCAGAATGCTTACATCGGTTTCCATCGACTTCATTAAAACATTTGCTTGGCATGATGATCATTATTTACATCAACCTCTATTGGTACATGACCTACTAGAATTTTTGTGTAAAGAATTTATAGCCGCCATGTTAATAGAAAACCTTTCAATATCTCATGTTCTATCATGATACCATTTTGTAACTAATAATTAGGCAAAACATGATATTTCAAAAGATTTCAAGAGAATTACCGTTAATTGTTACAAAACAAATTTTACTGTATGCGGAATATTCTGTTTTGATCAATACTAGAAATTGCAAGGACAAAATCGTTAACCACACAATTTGACTGCTAAATGTTATCTTACTAACGAATATTTAGCACCATGATTATAACAAAAGCAATACAGATTACCTCTATGCCATTGAGCATTCGAAGATGGTTGTACAACACATACATCCACGCGTTATTCTGTTCGTGTTGCACCCATATTGCTGCCGTCCCCTTGACTGGCACTACTTATGCACCGGAGCGCGATGTGACCAGGCTTGCCACATTTGTAGCACACCAGAGACTTCACTGCAGGCTGCGATGCCGTTGCTGTCATCGAAGGTCGTTCCACACTGTCATTTACCTTGCTTTTACACTCCGACCGCTTATGACTCACTTTTCTGCACTTATAATATTTTAACATTAGCTTGGCTCGTTTAGCATCAGGCACTTTTGAAAAATCATCAGATAAACTAGCTTTGCGTTTCAAATGTGAGAATACGTGCAACCCCTGCTGCAGTCGATCTCGCGAAGCAATTTTCGTAGTAAAGGCCAATCGTCGTTATTTCGAAATTAAACTGACATAAGTGAGCAAGGACAGTCGCAATTGCTATCTGATTCTTGCTAGCGTCTTTTCAACGATTAGTCAGTGACGTCATCAGGCGATTTGCGTACGTAACGAGTTTCTTTTTTCATTTGGTTTGTCATTGTTAAAATAATTAGCGTACCGGCCAATGTCTCGGTGGAAACAAACCTCGCCTTGAACTCTTCCTATGTTATTCTCTGGTATACAAATTGTGATAGCCACGTCGACCCTTATCCTTTTAATTCCTTACTGACTGTTAAAATAAGCTAGCCGCCGTATGGAGGGTATTCGGCAAAACACAAATCTACAGTCGCAAATAAAGATCTTGCGTCCGTATCCATATTGTCAGGGTCAAACTCGCGTAACTTGACGTTCTTCTTCATCTGAGGCATTTGCAAGGCCTCGATAAGAGATCACATAATGACATTTTGTTATTCAAACATTGCACGTTATTGTTCACTCAGAGTTAGTTCTTTTTGCAATTGAACCAACACTGATCCCACTTCTGATATCGAAGCAGCATTAATTTTCTCTATTATTTTCATTATTTTATCATGACTTATACAGTGGGCGTTATATGGGAAGTGTTGGTTCAAATAAAAGTCGATGCAATCACAGTTGTACTTCAAATTAACAATAATCACTTTGTACATAGTTAAACAGCACTTCACTACACAACCATATACCACTTCACTATTACCACGTATAGACAATACGGAACGCAAGACAGTTCCTAGTGGAGCGGTCCTAAGCTTGGCTCGGCTCGAAGGCAAGTGTCCAGCCCTCTTAGCACCCCTCCCTTAGCTAGGCTCCGTCGTAGCACGAAGCTCGCCGAGTGTTGGCGATAATACCGAAGGTGCTGCCATTACTCAGGCGTCGTGCCGCGCTTCGTTTAGCGACCGTATTGATGACCGTCTCCGACATATATATATGAATAATAATGTAAATATATAGATATAAAGGCTTAAATTTTAATTCTGTTCTTTCTTAGAAGAATTAAACGCTCACTGGTAAATTTTTTATGTCATCTTCCTTATAACAAAAATTGTATAAACATGATGTTTTTATAAACATTATTCAATTCCCTATACATTATGAATTCATTATCATATACTTATAAAATGACGTTTCAAATTATTTGCGTGATAAGCAAAGTGAGTAAACCTCACTTGGGAAGAATTGAAAGGGAATATGA